GATGTGTATTTCGATATGTATATATTATTTATTTTCGCGTATACCTTTATTTATGGAACTCGGGTTTAACATTTTATGTTGATTATCCTTTCGTATCTCATTAAATATAATAAAAATATGTATTTATTAATTGTATAGTAGTTAAAGCCTTTGAAAGTCTCTTCCTCACATTTATGAAATTTGTAATCTTAAGTAATAAGCCTACCAATTTCTGTTTTATCTTGTTGCCACCGGATAGAAAATAAATAAGGAAGTATGCAGTTTAAATAAGAGGGTTTTTCATTTTGGACTCATCGTTAATAATTATTATGTTTCTTCCCTTACTGATGTTTTTAGCTTTCCACATATGAAGTAATTTGACAATTGAAATATTTAAACTACTAAAATGCTTTTCGTATGTGATTGCTCTCTTTAGTTTAACCATTTATCAACGACTCTTTGCAATAGTGTATTCGTCTTTGTCATTCCGATCAAACCAGTAGGGTTGCCAGCGATTAGGGTTTTCCCCGTTTAAAGTTTCATCTTCTGAATACAATGTGACGACCTCGCTGTTCCAGTCGTCACGCTGCCATCTAATGCCCACACGGCGTCCCTGGCTTATTGGAGCCTGCCTTGCTGCTTCTTCGGGCTCGCCGTCACCCATATTGTTGCTTTGATCGATCACGTCTTTATGAACCTCCTCTGTCACTTTATTGATCAAGTCATTTTGCCGCAGGTATTCCATAGTGTATTCCTTTGGAGCCAAGCTTGCCTTACGGAGAGAATCCTCTATCTTTAAAACTGTACCAATTGCGTAAAGGTCTGTCATCCATATACGCACTTTCTGTCCCTCTTTCAAGCCTTGAGAACCGATGCGTTCAAATTGATATTTGGCGATACCCGTGAGTGCAGGTGCCACAGGCAGTCCAGCAGCATAAGCGGCCCCCAAGTCCCCTCCAAGGTACTGTTGCAAAAAGCATCTAACGCCTTGCTCGTATACCTCCTCGGGATCACCTTTCTGTTTGGCCCCTACACGGTTATCATGCGGGACTACAACGTCCCAATTGTGGCCTTCTTCTCGTGAAGAGCCCAGAGCAAGCGCACCTTCTTGACCGTCAGGCCTCTTTTCAGAGGCAAATGCAATCATAAAGGTCCCGCCCACAGCGACTCCTGTCAACCGATAGGGTAACAATACCTCAATAGCGGACGGATGCGCCCGTGGTGCAGAAACATTTGTACCGTTGTATACCTTGGGGTAACTGTGTTTCCCCCACACATAGAGCACGCCCTCCATGCTCAGCGCTAGACACTGATTACCTCGGCTGGAAAAGACACGCGTGAGCTGAACTGTCGTCGGCATAGGTATAATAAAGGGGTATAGTTGTCCATCACCGTTACTGAGTTTGCCAAAAAAATAAACAATGGACCCGATGCTTGAGTTTTCTTTCAATACAAGCGTGTAGTCGTCACCCGCTGCAATAGAGATTAGACGTTCAGGTTGCTTCCGAGGCGGGAATTCGACGCGAGTGGGCTGCACCCTAGAGAGCACGTCACCGTGCCCAAGCTTGCCAAAGAAGCCCTCCCCGCAAGTGTATACATCCTCAGTACTGCGGCATACCATATGTGCACGTCCAACAGCCACTTCAACCAAAAATACGTGGTGTTGCTCGAACCAACGAACCAAGCGTGGTGTAACAGTGTTCACTGTCACAACCTTCAGGGTGTCGGGGTCGAGTCGTTCACCGGTATCATTGTGCCCAAGGTGACCCTCTTGAGCACTCCCCCAGGAGTAGAGTTGACCCTGTGCATTAAGAGCAAAGGAAGCGTTGTGACTCGCGTAGACTTGTTGAATACGTGCAATACCAGGGATCTGCGTAAATTTGGCAACACACGGTGCCCCATTATTGAACCCGGGTCGTACCTTGCCACCAATGTGTATAGGCAGCCCTAACTGACCGTGGCTGTTATCTCCCGTAGTGTAAACGCAACCAGATGAAGTGCATACTAATGTGTGTCGCTCACCACATGCTATACTCATTACCGTACCATCCATGACTTCTTCCAAGTGAAGATTGGTGAGCGACATCGTGTAGCTCGCAACGTGCTGCCCAAGCTGACCACTGTGATTGCTCCCAATGCCAAATACCATCGCGCCCCGAGAGGTGGGAGAGCCGTGGCGCGGCTGAGAGGCCTCAAGCACCTCGCTCCTACCGTGTTGCGGCAGAAGTGAGAATGTAGAAATAGAGCTATCCGTAAGTACTAAAACCGCGTGTTTTGATCCACAAGACGCCAGACGAATGTGCAGACGTTCGTGAAGAATGCATTCTAGTTTTGACTGAAGAGTCGCAGCCCCACCAGGCTCTAAATATCCGTTCTGTGTAGGTAAATACGTACCATTAAGAGTGGAAGTGCAAGGTGGTACATACATGGGGAACCTTAAGGGTTGATGCCCCTCCTTCTCCGCTCGATGTGGTATCTGAAAACTATAGCCACCCCAGAAAAACATTTTTTTTGTCTATTATTGAAAATAATAATATTTACAAAAAAGGTATTTTTTTTATTTTGCGCTTGGATATCAATATGCCTACCCGATCAAAGTTCTATTTAACTGTGCTCGTACCCTCTTACCACTAGTAGAAATTTGATAAAAGCAAATTTATATTTCAAGGCAGTGAAGTCTATGGCAATGTTACAGAATACCTCTATACCAATGTGATCTATTAAAGTACGCCCCAGAAAACTTGCAATAACTTTCGGAGAAAACATAACGGAAAATAAGTATTCACATATGCTATTCATGTAAGGAATTGTTATTCTTCATCGATTCGAAAAGCGTAAATATAATCCTTACTATGATAAAACAAATTAAGCAACTTGTAGTAAGATGTCTTCACCTCATAAAAGTAAGACCAAATGTGATTACTCTTTTTATTGCTTCTCTGGAAAAAATGCTCATTTACTGATCATTGTCATCCTTTATTTTATTTAAACACAAAGATAGCATAGAGTTACACACACACATGTATATATATATATATATATAGTAAAACACCAGTAGATAAACAGCAATAATAAGTAGAATTTACATTTTTTCCAGTACAAGATAGAAAAAGGGTAAAAACCATTCTAAATGTATTTAAACTCGAGAAAACTAAGATTTTTTTAAAAGATATATAAATCACCATAAAGAAAATAGATCAGAAACAGTAAACTATTCCTTTTTACTTTGAAATTTTGTCTTCTACTTGTCACTATTGTGGTGTCGGACAAATCGCATATTAAAGAATAGCAACTAATAAAAAAATAGAAATATGCATAGCTTAATTTACTGATGCACTATATAAATGCAGGCATAATTGTTAAATTAAAAATTTTGCGTTAACCTTTACGTCTGCTCTTCATTTTTATTCTTTAGCCGTTTGTCTTATTCCTTTTTAGAAATTTGCTTAACTTTTAGGGGCAAACTTAAAAAAAAATTCTCTGTATCATCCGTTATTTAACTTCTATTCGTGCACCCTCCAATGTAAAGTAGCACTTTAAAGATACACAAGTGGAAAAAGTTAACTAGTGGAAAAAAAGATAAAGAAAAACACTAGAACAGCTAAGAGTGGAATCCAGAAACTCTCACGCTTGGACATATCCTCTAGAATACAATTAGCATATTTATAAGTGTTTTCAAATCTGTTGTTATTTATATTTCTGACAATTTTTGTCTGAACAAATCTATTTGTTTGAGCATATAAAGTGGGAAATTGAGAAGCAATCTCCTATAAACTTGGGTTTGGCACTAAAATTACAGCGCCAACACTGTGTCTGGATACAAGGGGCCTTTGGACTAGCAATCATCATGCTTTTCCCTCCCTACCCCCTTACTCATCACGGTCCACAACTTTTGGTTTTCATTGGGATCCGTACGATTTAATATGTACAAAGTAAACTTTTGTTGTTACCAAGGCTTATAATTTGAATAAATAAATAAATGCCTTTTATTATTCATAAGCATATCTCATCCAAGCTCCCTTTTTCTTGAAATCATTGACAACACCCGTAATCCAGGATTGTTTTTTTTTCAAATATTTAAAAAAATTTGAGTGTGCATTAAAATAAAATAAAAATAAACTGAAGAAACACTTTGATAAAAGCCTGTAAGTATGCAAATCTGAATAATTTAGAAATTTGGCAGGTGAAACCCATTTAATTTTTTAGAAGCACGGAAAAATAATGCATGGTAAAGAAAAAAGAAATAATGGTATAAAAAAATATACATATTTGAATTATTCAACTCAACGCTATACACACACTGACGCTGTTTGAAGATCAGACTCTTCGGGTAGAAGGTTATTATATTTTTGATTAGTTTTGTTACTGTTCATAGTAGCCAAATACTTCCCTGTTACTCGCATGCACAATTAAGGAGAAAAAAATAAAAGAATGGATAAAATGAAAGTAATCATGCTTAGAAAAGAAAGGTTTTCTATGGATTGAAATAATGGATGAAAAAATAATATATAAAAAAAAATAGACAAAATGTAAATAAAAGATGTCCTTGTACAGGAAAATGTAATGCTTGTAGCTGTTAGTATGGAGTCGGACAGTCCACATTGTATAATATGGACTCGGCAACCAGAGCAAATGAGTCCATATTGCTCAGTGAATCGGATGGGTTAGTAGCTACCAATTCGTTTTCGTTAACTCCGTTTCTCCATGGACATGAGGAAAAATAGATTGCTAAGCGCTTTGACCCATAAGGTCACTCAACAATTTACAATTATCATATACTTGTCTTATGGTGCCTCAACCTTTGTTTCTTTGAAGATAAGTAACACGTCATCCACCTCGACGCTGTAGGATAAGCATTTTTCCATGATGAAAGAATCCAGGGGTAATGATTTAGGTCGCTTCGTGTCTACTGCATCGTAGTAATCAGTAGAAACGTCGTGACCCCCTATGGCTAACTCATTCCCTGACAAGGTTGTGATATCACTTCGGCAGGGTAAATCTTGCTCGAAATGGTTTCTCTTGAAGCACTTTGTTGCAGTGCAGTCTTTTCTGTCGTTATCACCACCACCGTAAGCGGAGGAACCCTGTGGAGGCTTAAGAATCCGCCACCAGAGAGGTTTGCAAAATATTTTTACATTTTGAGCTGCGATATGCGAAGAGGATGGAGGAAGACTTTTGCCGGTATACGCATTGTGCTCATAGGAACGAAAGTCGCGCTGAAAATAATGCGAGATTTCACGTTCAAGATTCTGATACGGAAGGTGAGGCATAGTATGATAAAAATAATTATTTTACCCGCCTTATTAAATAGGAATGTATGCGTATATTTATACACACACAAAGTATATATATAAATGATTTCTCTTACGCTCTCAAAATGTGCAAGAAATTTAAACTTAAAACTGACAAAAGGGATGAAAAATATATGCAGTAAGCAATAAGGTATTTTATTCCTTGTCTATATTACAATCGTTTCTTACTTAAATTGGGGTTTGATCTTGATGTTGGATTTTCCCATGTAGTTTCCCTCTAGATTAGAATCACAAGTGAACAAAAACTGCAAGAGAAAAACTATACGAAAACACTGACTAAATGTGTTCAACTACCCTTTTTGGTATAGATTCTCTGAGTTGATTTCAGGGTTAGAAACAAGGTGTAAAATCTGAACTTATAAAACTGTTGCAAAAGCAATGTCAAAGACATCCTCAAAGAGATCCACAACCTCCTCATCGACCGCCGGATTCGTTGCATCATTTTGACAATCTTTGAGATCAGTCGACACCAACGAAGTGGAGATTGAATCTAATATTTCCTCAAGAGAATCAAAAATACTCGCTGAGTTAGCCACGTCTAAAGAATGAGGCAGCAAAGGTGACTGTAGCTCACAGCCGTGCGCATCCCCCTCCCGGGTTTGAGTTGAAAGCGAACTGTGCGTACAAATCTGATATTGCAAATCACTCTCAAATAATATACGCTTCTTAGGACTACACAATAGCGGCAGGGTCCGCTCAACAAAGTCCTTGAGTGACCCAGTAGTTTTGCTGCCGATACTAAAAAATATACGATCAGCAATTCTCAAATTCTTCGTATTCGATCCTTTAGTAAACTTTTTAGGTTTGAGCCTCAGAAGCGATTGCGCGATACTGGACGAGCCCGTAAAGCCATGAAGAATGATAGCAGGAGGAGTGTGCTCTGCGGGTAACTCCTGTAGCAACTGTAGTAAAAGACCATGGTGACGCACACAATGAACGGATACGGGACGATGATACTTCGCTGCTAGTTCCATCTGCGCCAAAAAAGCAACCACTTGAGTCGATGTACAAGGGCCACGTAACTTGTCGATTCCTATCTCACCAACAATTGCCTTCGGAAAGGCAGATAGAAGCTGTTCGAGCTCCTCTAGAATAAGAGAAAGGGGACAACTAAGATGTGATTGCGGTTGGGAGACCGTAACTTGAGAAACAGGGTTAACACCATGCATCATCGTCTCGGCGCTTCGTGGGCTTACATCTTGACCTTTCCCCTCACAACTCTCCTCCTTACTTCCCACTTCGGGAACATACCACGGATGAACCCCAAACCCCACAATGATGTTTGTCACAGCCCTGTCGTTGGTCATCCTGCAGCCTTCGCAAAATAAATCCCCGTTCGAGTGATTTTCGCACTGCGCGGCCGATGAAACCCTGAGATCGGAGGATGATTCCGCTAACTGCTTTATTATCGTCCAATCAATCTTTGGATGCATCCCACACAACACAGCACGTCGAAGCTTCAGCCGACGCCTTTCGGTTGTCCTCCCTTTTTCATCCTCAAATTGACTCGATTTTATATCGGTAGCACCCTTAGCGATCTCTCTGCCGCTATCAGACAAAGTGAGTCCGCTAAGTCGTGATGCGACGAGTTTCACGTGACAATGCGCATCGGACAGTCTTACCAAATGGCTGATAGTAGGCACCACTTCACTCATTGGTCAATTTTATCAATTCATTAAACAGAATAAAATCACGCAAAGTGAACAAGTGTCAAAGTAATAACAATGGGCCCTTTTATTTGGATGTTAAATTTGTATTCCTAAAGATGTCTCAAAGCGTTTTATATCTTCCCATACGAGCAAAAATCGGAAAAAAATACGATACAGGTATATATTAAGGAAAGAACATCCATTTAATCCCTTTTTCGAGAAAAAAATAAACATATAGGCATACTAGCTCCGTCACTGCTTGTTCCTTGATTATGAACCAAGTGAAGTCATTCTTTTTTTTTATCTCATATCCATAAATCCCTTTGTAATCTACCGAGTCTTTAAAGACTTAGCTTGCTATACATGACCTAGTTGAATCCATGACTAGAACCAGTAAAAAAGAATGAAACACTTAAGAAGATCCACTGGAACTCTACAAACAAGTGAGTATTTCGCGTCAGAAAATTTTCCTTATTCCAAGTCAAATAAACGGCTCACGTTCTCATTAAAAGATGTAAAAAATAAAAAGTACCACCATCTTACCCAACAAAGGTAACTATTTATTTTTTCCACGCGTCATTTGTACGCTCAAGTGATACAATTGTCTGAGCGCAGTGTTAAGGGTAAACAGAGAAAGAGGAAAAAAAAAAGTAAAAAATGGTCACACGCCGTTTAAAAAAAATGTATTCTATTATTTCCTGTTGCTCTCGTTCATACCTCTTACTTTTAGTTTAGGTTTCCGTTCGCAATCTCTTAGCCTCAAATCCTTCTATGGTACCCTCCGTGGGGATTGTCATGAAAGGAGCTGATGCGATATTTTTTGGTTTTTTGCGCACCGTTGCATGTTTCATTGGGCCTGTGACACCCGAAGGTTCACTCCTGCTACCCTGCGCGGGGAAAAGTGAAATCGACTGGCTATTACTGTGCTCATTCATCCCGAGTATCTGTCCGGTTGCTGAAACAGGCATTGATAGACTCTCTGTGTTGAGCTCTGCGGTACCGCCGGGTACCGAACTTAAGAAAGGATGCTTCTCACGGTCATCAACCTCATAGAACTCATGGGCTGTGGGCATTTGCTCCGCATCGGCCGCAAATTGTTGTTGAATCTGTTCTTGGATCTTATTAAACTGTCCATTTTTCATTTCGCGCGCATCATCAAGCATGTCCTTTATGTCCTCGATCAATTCACTCGAAATCGCACCGATAGGGTACTTAGCGATCTCATTTAGGGTAATTTGAAAACGCTCCTCAGCTCCTGCAAAGTCCCCCTCCTTAGTAAAGCAATCTGCAATTCCATAGAGCGCACCCACAACACGCCCGGCGGGTACCGCATCCATGTTTTCGCTTTGTAAGGAACGATAAATAAGCAGTTCCGCCTCGTATTCGCGCAAGGCGGCATCGTAGTCTTCCTTTTCGATCTGGAGCTGCGCCAAGGCGTTGTGCACCTCCGCCAGAGACAACTCCGTCGCCACGTCAGAGCCGCCATCTTCGGTCTCTTTTTTCTGAAAGGACACACGAGCAACCTCGAGATTGATAAAGCATGCCTCCATCGCATCCTCATCGCGTGGCTTCAGGGCATCTTCCATGGTGCTCTGGGTTTGCAGCAGACGCAGCTGGGATAGGGCATAGTCTAGAAAAAACACCCCACACCGAGAAGCGGTGGGACCGTATTTCTGGGAAAAGTAGCGCACCACACGGTACTGCTGGTCCAACGCGTCGGAATAGCGACACTCGTTGTAGGCCCTCAGACCGTCCTGACGGGCCATCATGGCTTCCTCATCGCATCCAAAGTGAAAGTTACTCAAAATCACCTCTTCATCATCGCCATTATTGCCGCTTTCCTGGGAACCTTCTTCGACTTCCACATCTTTTGTGAATTGATCCTTTGGATTAGACCCCCCGTTTGAGACTAGTGTTTGTGCCGTATGGATCGGTTCTGCGGCTGCCGCCATGTGGCTGCCCAATGACGGAGCGCTGCATTCCGCGGGTGGGCAATGCTCGAGGTCTTTTCGATTAAAACTACTCATGATTAATAAATTATCCTCTCTATATTATATTCTATTATATGATAAGAAACAATAAGATTTATCTAACTATAATAGGAAATATAAATGTGATTCAAAATAATTATGAGATGCATCCATAATATTTGGTCATATCACACATTCCTCTATCCCATCACCGTATGAACTGTTAATCGGGAAGCTTCATATCTACGAATATACTTGCAATAAACAAATCAAAACATCCACCACACATTTGAGGTGAATTTTCCCTGATAAAAAGAATATATATATATATATATATATAATGCAAATGTACGTATAGTAGGATATTAATCAAAAACAGTCATGCATCTTTTGACTATTTAGAAGCAGTTAAGTCCGAACCGCACTCCTGTACATCTAAAGCTATAATATTGCATGATAATTGGAAGTACTGTTCCTCTCTTCCCTCCTTTGAAAGAAAAATAGATAATTAAATAAATAAATAATAAACAATTCGTAACGAATTCCATATCTAACATAGTTTTCTTGCAAAGATTCAGAGTTGCTGTACAACCACCCATTTTTCCATTCGCATTGCTTGAAGACAAGATATATAACCATGAAAACCTCCATAAATAATGATAGTATTGGGCTTGCGATGTACCGCGTCTTCTTAACGCAAAGCTTTATTTCTATAAATACACGTCTCATTCCAAGCCGAACCCCCACACTCCATAGACTCGCAAAGGTGTTGAAGTCGCCTCACTGTGGAATGGTCTGCAAGATGTTCCGTGCAGCTCAATGAATGGGATGGATGCGTGTAGATAAACACGGATGAGCTGTGCAGAACCAAGTAGAAATCACCCTTAAGAACCCAGAATATATGTTTTGGGACTCATTTTCCTTCCATGCGCAGCAAAGCAAAATCACCTCAATCTCAGGACGAATTGTGATGTACCAATGGAAAATATGGTGACTTGTTTAGATAAAAAAAGAAAGAGATCAAACGGTAAAAAGCGCTGCATTACTAAATCCAAAAACAAGCATGTGAGAATATGCTTCCAGATACTTCGCAGTAATCAGTAAAAAAAATGACAACGAATTCACGGTTAGCGATGTCGCATTTCAATTTATCGACATCAGCACCGGCCCATCCTTCTCAGTGTTGTTTGAAATAATTTCATAACAACATCCTGTCCTAACAATACAATATTTTATGATAGGAAAAACTCAAATTTAAAGGTATCCAAACCCCATAGACTTCTCCGAAGGGGTGAAAACAAATAAACTGCTTTCCAGTATCAAATACATGACTAGATGCCATTGTAAAAAGGACAAACCTAAAATATCATGAAAATAAATGTCGGTAAAGATCAACATAATTGAACCCTCAAAAATGCATTCATAGCACAAACCGCGAAATAGCAAAACCGAACGCTTATTTACCCACTAAATGAGTACACATTATGTGACACCGTAACATTTGACCAATACGTTTTATGTCTTCTATTTATATCGGTGTGAAAAATCTTAATGAAAATGATTATACACCAAATCAATTGAAATAATATATCTAAAGTTGCCAATAATACACATAAGAAAAGGGACTACAGAGATAATGATTCCCATTTTAAAATAAAAAAATACGTAAAAGTAAATGAGCTATATGGCGATTGTCATTCAATATTCAAATGCTGCTGTTTTTCTTTACTGTGGCATTATAGGAAAAGAACAATAATAAACAAAAAAGTGATGAGGCTACTTAACACCACCACCTCGCGCCTCCTTCGAGAATTAATACGGGAGAGAAGGCTCTTAATAATCGGCACACGCTCCGCGATCTGCAAGAGTTTTCCCCCAATATTAACAAAAGTTTCTCGCTGTGCGTGCAGACGAATTTGCGTGGCGGCCGTTTGGGATACAATCTCATCCACATGCGCGGCGGTGTGCCGAATCGCACTCTGCTCCTTTATCAAAAGCTGTATGCCGGACTCCTCTTCGTACGGAGCGGTTCGTTCAGTCAGGCCGGAAAGCAACTCCTGTCGCTCTTTGCGCCGCCTGAAATCGTTAATGAGGTGTTGTAAGGACCGACGTTTCTCATTCAACATGCTTTGGAAGCGTTCGGTGTGCTTGGAAAAGTGTAGGTTCCCGGAGCTTTTTCCTTCCATCATCATTAGAATCCGCTCCAGGTGATGGAGTCCATTCTCGACCTCGTTGGATAGCTCGTTAAAGCGCTGTTGAAGTTGACCTACGGTGGGTCTCGTGTTGATTGCGAGATTAAGTATGGGGTCCCTAAGTTTCCCTTCCTGACGCGTCGAGATACCCTGAGGCTTGTGAGAAAATTCGCCAGACTCGATCTTTCCTGACGAGGGCAAATCAGCAATCTGGGTATTGTCCTTTACAAGTTCAGTAAGGGATTCAAGAGCTTGCAATTGTTGATCGAGGACCTTATCGATCTGTCGCGCCTCGCTGCGAAGATCCTCCCACGCATTCTGATTGCTGTTCATCAAATAAGTAAATTAAGGGAAGACAAGCCAAACTCACTACACTTTTATCCCCACCTGAAAACAGAAGCTGCTTTTGTAGCCACCTTCACTTATTTTGTACTAAATATTTTGATGCACTACTAAACCTGGGTGGGTGTGCGTCTCCTATTTGTTAAAAAAAAAAAGAGAGAAAGCCGCGGATATTATTCATGCTATGTTATCCTAAAGATATCTGATCTCACCAATAGTGCGCTACAGTGTGTGGAAGAGTTACCTAAGTATTCTCTTCCTCCCTACGCTTTTCAAATGTGAACTCACTTTGAAATTCAACAAAATTTTATCAGAATAATTAAATATTGCTTTTGAATCAAAGGCATATTTTTTTTCCCTACGCGTGTAGAATCTAAAAGCTTTCTGCATAACTAAGCACTTGGTCGAATTACATACGCGATATGTATCAATAGGTACTCAGCAGCGCTGGCTGAAATGGGGAAAAGGTGTCAATAACAGCAAACAGCATCCTTCAACCATGGCACCAAAATACAGATGCCGGACTTTTTCAAGAGCCTTCAATATTATTATTATCATTATTTTCTTTCTACTGTGAACATGTTGAACGCACGGTTTCCTCGCAAAACAACTTTAAGTAGGACTTAATATCATACTCAGCATCATACAACCGTTGACGAGGAGCTTCCAGTGACGCGATAAACATTAGCACTTTGACGGAATCTGTAGCCTCATCGTAGGATTTTACATTTGACAGGTTCTCTAATATTTCTCGGAAACTCCGTCTGAGCGTCTCCGCCGCATAATCGAGGACCAGCTTCTCAACGCTGATGCTGCAGAGAAGTTCTTGGAAGAACCCTGTACTTTGTGCGTTGATTTGGTGCTCCCGTTGAAGGGCGTCCATCGGTTCCGCCTCATCCGCCAGGAATCCCGAAGAAACCGGAAAGCCAGCCGCGTCGATCTCCACCTGTGGGCGCCGCGACGCATCGAAGGGATTCTCAAACCCGAAGCTGTTGGACGAGCCCGCGTACGGGCTCACGAGCTTGCCGTTCCGCCCCAGTATCGCGGTCGAACCCGCAGGGAACTCCACCACCTCATCGGCCCCGTCGTTGAGCATCGGGGTCACGAAAGGGTCCCCCGCGGGGATGGGAAGAGGAGGGAAGGATGGCAAATTCGTCCACACGGATACCCGCACCTGACGCGCCATATCTGCGGCCAGCTCGCCCAAAAGCCCCTCTAACTCCCCCCGCGTAATGAGAGTCGTGGGGCTGAAGAAATGGCTCGGGTGGCGCGCAAAGGCACGCCCAACGACGCCTCGCGCGGCGTCGATAATTCGCGGCCCCGCGACGTGTAAAATACGACGAACGGAAAAATCCCCAGCCTCGAAGCTGTTGTGATCGTCCTGGGGCGACCATTCGCTCCCCTCACCAGGGGAAGTCCCCATCATCATCATCGTCGCCGTCTCCTCGTCGAGTTCGCCGTGGGCGAAGGGGGAGGTAGGCTGCACGAGGCGGCGAGTCATGAGCTGAACGACCTTCTCCATCATCACCGCCTTCGTCCCGTTCACCCACCAGGCCCGAAGCTTCGAGATCGCGCCGGGGACGAGGCCCGTTCGCCCCTCCCCTCCCCTCTCCTCCTCTTCCTCCTCCCGTCGGCGCAGGATGAAGATGAGCACCCGCACAGTGTTCTTCAACGTAAAGAGGGTGATCGTGAGGCTGTGAAGGACGCTCGCGGCGAGGATGCCCGTGAGGGTCAGATGGAGGGTCTCCGTCCACAGCTGCAGCTTCGTCGTGCGATCCGTGGTGAGGCGAAGGGCCTCACGTAGAGGCCCGAGCGGGACATCCCGCGCGAGGATGGATTTCGTCCGGCGCTGCTCCAAACGAGCGGCGATAAGGCTGCGGTCGTAGCCCTGGGGCATGTGAGCCTCAATGGCGTACTTGGCATCCGCCGGGACGACGCTGCGGAAACTGGTAAGAAGGTAGTACGCCGCGGTCACGGCCACCAGGTACTTCCCACCGCGATGGATGGCGTCATCGCTAAGTTCCGTAAGGAAATTCATGGGAATCAACTCCATCCCCGTAGCTTAAGTAGTATAGGCAAGAAAAAAAAAGAGAGGGGAGGGGGGAGGTGAGTGGGTGGGGAAGCTGAGGTCGTTCGCGTTTGTAGGAACAATGGGATTGTTACAGGAAAGGTGACACACCCCTGGAGTGCAACCAAGACGATCAAGGGCTAAATAGACCGGTTTGGTGTAACAGAAAATAGGACCTATAATTTGGTATGTACTACTACACCCTTGAAGAGATGACACGGGAATGAGGATGAAAGTGGGGTGCGTGAATTGCATAGCCGGGTGTGCCGCAGAACCGCGCAGATGTTACCTACCATGTGGATACCCTTTTAGCCACGTTTAAATGTCAAATTGACAGTGAAACTACAAAGTTCCGATGTTGATACACAACACCAGCAATAGGCTAAGTAAGACATCAGACAAAAAGATGTACATAGCGGTGATTCAGAAAACACGAGATTTTGATGCAAAAGAGACCTACATTGGTTTTGCTAAGTTTGACTTCCTGTATTGCGTGTATTCAACAAGAAACAAAGCGTGCTCGACGGCTAGAAACGATCGTTTGAAAGTCCTTTCGATTTGATATCAAATATTTGCATACACATGCCACCGTATTGAATGTCCTGGGATGAGTAATCCGATTTTAAGGGGTTGGACCTAATCACCTCGTCGTCATCCACCTCAATTGTCAAGACCGAGGTCGTTTCATCTAGATACGCCTTGTGAGTGCGCTGGACTACCTTCCCGCAGGTGACCGACGCGCCTGGGCTGGCAGGGACCCCTCGCGTTGACGGCGTCAGCCCCACAGAGCCATCATTGCGGTTGGCGATGACGCCGCTCGACTTTGACTGGTCCGTCTGCACAAAAACCTCCTTACCATTCTCGATCGAAACAAGGTAGCGATGCCATGGACAACAAATGCAAAGAATGTTCTCGATCTCCACAATATTGCCCTCCCCAAGGGGGCCGGCGGCATGGTAGCAGGAGCTGTCTATGCAAAACAGGCGATGCGGATCACTCGGTCTCGGGGATAGAATCACCGTCACGTAGCGATAAGGCTCGGTCAGCAGAAAGTGCGCACGCCCACGCTGCTGGCCCAGTCTTTCGTAAGACCAACCATCGTACTCGTATTGTTTCGGCATCTTACGATGGAATCTAATATTTTTTCAAAAAAAAAAGACACAAGGGACAAAGAAAATGAAAAAAAAGTATTGCAACTTGTACAGACAAATCTCCATGAAAAGTCTACAATATTTTAAAATGGGTAGTCTATAAATGATAGAAATAGACTCGATAATCCAAGCGATCACACTCAGCAAGCAAGAATGCACTGTATTCGACACGAAAAAAATGTTTAATGAAAAAATTATTCACAATGTCAAGCTTGGAGTTGGAAAAGAGGTGCACCCTCTGCGATGCATATCTCCCTCGTACCCCTGGATGTGCGCAAGCCCATAATTGATAAGCTTTCAATTAGGCCAAGTTGACGAAAATCCTTATAAGGCGCCAAGTGTACCTTCTTGTCGGGATGTAAAGCAACAGTAGTTTACAAAATGATTTGTATGTCATCTTGCTGAATTACAATTCAATAGAAGAAATAAAAACACAATCGAACACCATTGGTCCGATCTCAACGTTATGACCTGTAAATATATGGCGATAAAAGGTAAAAAAACATGTGTTGAGGCCTGGCATATATACCGTGTATTTATCCTTTATGAAAAAAGACTGCATCTTTCATCACCCTGGGGAAAAATAAAACAGATGGAAACACGGCCCACAGGTTCACATTCGCAAAGGATAAGAATGATGATTAGCTTTACCATAACGATAGGCATGGCTCTTGATGCTGGTATTGTGTTAAACCGAAGGCAACATTATTCTCTTTCCATCTGATCACCATGTTTCTAAAGCTATAAACTACTTAGAACATAAATTAATACGAGTCAATATTCTACCTCCTCCAACATCTCGAAAAAAAAAGTGATAAAAGATAAAGTGCTCGAAAATCACTACCATGCTCAGGATCATTCTTTCCTTTGAATGTGAAAAAAAAACTGAAAAAAAAATTCACATGCCCAAAGCTCACTTTCTAAAGAAATTAAAGAATCAAAAAACAGGATCACTCTATCTAGTATTATACATATATATAGATAGATGGATATAAATATATAAATATATATATATATATATTTATATATATATATATTCCCACGCTACTCAACACTCATAAAAAGGAGAGATGAATGAATTAACTATTACTGCGCGTCTCAGAAACATAACCCTCTTCGTTTGGGGGATCGCTGTTTCTACTTTTATCAACCTAAAGCGCAGTTCTATAATTAAAGAACAAAAATAATTCAGCCGTATGGTGGTCACAAAGGAGTTAAAATCAATACTTGAGATGCAAATAGCATGAATTAAAATGTAAATAGTGTAATAATGGAATCTAGACGCAACTGTAATAATAAATCAAGCAACATGTTTTACATGTCACCTTACTAATCCATTCATATTAAACACGGACCTGAAGAAGAGCGAAGGAAATTCCAAAAGTTAAGACCCTATTCGTTATGACTCGTTAAAAAATGACAAAGAAAGAAGAAAAAAATGAGAATATGATGCCTATTTTATGATGCATACCCTCCGCTTCCTTGTTGTCTTTCTTCCCATTACGCATTTGTATTATTTTTTATCAGTTTCCTTACCCTCATTTCCAGTCACAGAAGCCGGCGCCGCAGACTCCTTTATTGTACTCGTGCTACGCGTGAGGGACTCCATATCCCAGTTTCCGTTGCTGAAAACGTCGATGTCAGTAGCTATTTTCATCGCCTTCCGGGCAATTTTCTCGGCGTCGAAGTCATCAAGATCGATGAGAGCTCGCGCCGCGGCTTTCGCGTACGTGCCGCCGGAGCCAATGGCGACGATGCCGTCTTCCTCGGGCGTAATGACATTACCCTGGCCGTCAATTTCTAGCGTCTCCTCACGACCGCAGACGATAAGCGAGGCCTCCAGACGCCGCAGGGCGCGGTCCGTACGCCAATCCTTCGCCAACTCCACCGCGGCCCGTGTGAGTTGATCGGGAAAGTCGTTCAGCTTGTTCTCGAGCTTCTCCATCAGCGCAAAGGCGTCGGCGGTGCTGCCGGAAAACCCCACCGCGACGTTGTCGTTGAGCTTTCGGAGCTTGCAGGCGCTGGCCTTCGCGACGATGCGCTCGCCGAGGGTGACTTGGCGATCCCCGATCAGGACGACTTTATCGCCCTTTCGGACGGAAAGGATGGTGGTATGGCGCGACTGCACCCGCGTCAGAAAGGAAGTATGACGTGTGACACGGCGAAACATCATTGTTACAGCACAGTAAAAATAGGGTGAGCTTTTTGAACTTAGCTTTAAAAAATAATAATAATAATTCAATGCGGTACAATAATAAGAATAATAATAATAATAATAAAAGGAAGGATGCTTCTTTCAGAGTATTGCGATGACCGCATCTATCGTATGGGATGTGAGATGTCAGAGGACCACTAATCAAACAACGGCATTCCCAAATAGGCAAACAATCCCAACAACGAGACCTTGATTTAACATATTTCCTGCATTTGTTCTTGTGCTGGGTGATATTATCAAGATGTGCAAAGAGTAGTAGTAATAATAATAATTGATTAAACGTTATCATTATTATAACAAATTTTTGTAAATTATAATGTGAAAAAAGGCACTTTATTTAAGTTGTGCAGCTCAGCTTCGGAAAGTCAAGAAAAAAGCTGACGCAAAACACCATTATATGCCACTCGAACGCGCCTGAGACCAACGAATGACATCGCATCTAGCAACCACAAACCGATCCACATTCCACTAGCGCAAATACGTCAAATAATGTTTGCCTCAGCCCAGCTTTGAAATCCTTTCCCCATTTTCCCATTTACTCTTACAGAGATGTGGATGAGGGTAGGTACAAGAGGGTATCATTCGTCTAAGGTAGTGTTGTAGAGCTTAAACATTGGATGTTCATCTAAAAACAAGTACAGCTGCTCCCAAAACACAAAAGCCTGTTTGATGTGCTGCTGCTTTTTCAACAAACGCCGCGACAGGACAAGAGGCTGCACACGCCACTGCCGCAGCGCCTTGGGGATTTTATCCTCCTCGAAATAGGGCAGAAAACCGCGCACGCGCGAAAACAATTCACTCGGCTGCCGCGCCGATAGTTCGCCCGGGAAGTACTTCTCCAACTGCCATTCCTTGCCATCCACGACGCAAGCGCAGACGTGCTCCCAGTTGTCAACCTTATCCGGGTTATCCAAAATGCGAAAGTAGCTAAACACCACCGTGTACTTCTCCTTGTCTAAAAAAGGCCCTGGGGAGACGATCACGGAGTCGGGCTTGGTGTCCTGGATATTCGCAATCCCGGTCTCCGCATCCACGAAGAGCGTCGGCGGATCAATATAGTTCCCTTCCTCGAGAAAGCTTTTGATGTTGAGGAGCTGCAATGGGGAGGTGATTGAGGAGGGTACGAGTATAATCGGCATAAAGTCGGGCTGGCGGTGCGTTAGCGCATAACGCTGACGGTCTATAAAGCCCGAGGTGAGCTGTGAGGGGACCCCGGACGTGGGGTTCGCGCGCACCGCGTTGCTCCCGCCCCCGCCCATGCAACGATAGACGCGGTAAAAATCCGGCCCTTCCTTCGCCGCACTGTCGGGGTGATCACCCTCCTCCTTCCCAGCCGCGATGATGGTGGCCGTATCGCGCGTGAAGGTCGGCCGGAGCGGCCGCGCGTAGAAGGTTTCGTCGTCGCTGATTTGCTGCTTAAACCATTCCGCGGCCTCGCTGTCAAAGTCGCCGTCTTCCTCATGGAGGACGCGAATCAGCTCTGGCGGGAGTGGGGCATTATCGGGCAGGTATTGGGTCGAAACATACTGCCGCGGCAAGGGTTTGGTAGAATCCACCCCCGCAACCGCATCGACGATGTGCCCCCACTGCTCTCGAGCCTCGCGAGAGATGGGCATCACGGCCGATAGGGTTTACTCCGGAAGAGTGTGTCGTTGTGATGAGGACCTGCTCGGATTTTTTGCTTGGTTTGTTTGTTTTCCCCTATCAGAAAGAAACTAAATAAAAGCTGAACGTTTCGCAATGTCGAAATTTGGGAATCATGTTTGTCTTGGATGGGTTTCATCCTTTCCTGATGGGAGTCGAGATGTCACAAAACTGGATCTCTTTACTTTTCAAATGCTGTCACTGGTTAGAAAACGGCTAAAAAGCAATCAAAAAAATATATAAAAACTCTCAGAAAGGCTAAACCGTGCAATATATATATATATATATATATAAAGGCATTTGCACAAGCAAACCAAGCTTATATATAACCCTATCTATCCTTACCTTTTTGGGTGAGTTCTAGGTGGTATACCAATTACCAACCCGAAACACTTTTCTTTCCCCTCCTAAACACAGACTGAACTCGCAAGCAACGTGCGCGCCTTTACGATCATAATGAACCCTGACTTTGCCATATTGTAGATGGGTAAATATGGCCATAATACTAAGAAGAAAAGTGTAGATTTACGAATTAGAGTACCGCTATTCTCCTTACTGCACATTTTTACAGACCCATGGCATTTTACTATCAATACTCTCGTGAAGGGAACCTTCACACACATAAGGATCACGGGGCCAAGAAAATGATAAACTCAACCAGATCTATGTGGTCACTTTGAGTTTCATGGAAGGAAATAAGGAAAACACGCGTTTGCGCTGTACCACATAAGTGGGTCAGATTTGATAAATACGATTGAATGTCTGCTTGAATATCAAAAGATGTCTTGAAAAGCAAGAAACTAAGTGTAGAATGCTATCCAGGCATCGACACTAGAGTCCTTTTCAATACCGTACCCTACATTTTCCCATTGATTGCACCAATTTATAACCGAACCACAGCACACATAAATTAATTATCAGCAGAATACCGATGAAAAAAAAGGACAGCGTCTTTTTACCTTTTCCTCGCGTCGAAGGCCGAAAAGCTTCCTGGGCATCGCTCAAACATGTCGGTTTCAATCTAATAAATCACATGCGGTATGAGGGGTTTCTGAAAGACCTTCAAATCGATGACTCTGGAGAGCGCCCTGGATGGTGCGCTCGCCATCTGGATCCCTATCGCTGTAAATTTCCTCAATCATCCCAATGGACTTCCGAAATTGGTGCGAGAGAAATAAGCAGTCTCATTGTATGTCCATGAGCTTCCATACACAAAAATAACAAGGTGTTTTCTTATATACAATGCATGTATATACAAATTGAAAAAACTAAATAACGACTTAATTGTTAACAGTCTATAGAAACGCTATTATTACTTTACCATGTTAATTCACGCTGGAGGTTTCCGATGGCATTTAATAATATGCCGGGGTGAACCACACTATAATAGAGAGAGAGAGGAAGAGAGAGACTAAATACAAATAATACCCTCGACAGAGAAAAAAAAAGTGCCTTTCCTGTGTGAATGGTATCGTTAAAAAAAAAAACTCATAACAAACAACAATGATCACCTTGCAATAATACTAACCTTACATCTTCTCTTATTCATAAGAGTAAAAGCATTTGTAGCAGAGTCACATAACCCTCACATGAATTCCAACATAAAATATAAAATATAAACATACAAAGAACGCAAAGCACAATTCATTCCCCATGTGAGAAAGTAACACTAAGATTTTAAAGGGTGAAAAAAATAAAAATCATATACTTCACGCATAAATAAATATATAGATATATATTTATGCAAACACAGGGGAGAGATAGAAAAAAAAAAGATATAGAACTCTATCAAGAAAATAATAATAAATAAGTGTAGCGAGAAAGCTTATCTTTCGCTATCCTGAAGATCGAAACGATACAATGCCTTGGATCTGGGACCCTTATAAGGCACCTCTGGGCGGATTATCAAAGGATCCAAAGGATCGCGAGGAAGCTCAGGGGGCAGAAAACGCGTTGAGGGCTGTACGGCAGTGGTTGGGTTGACGTCGACGGGGGGTTCGGGGAGGGCGGCGCCGCGAGCGAACGCGCGCGACGAGGGGTGGACGCCCTGATTTGCTAAAACTGGCGGAAGGCCACCCGCAGAATTCCAAGAAGGGGAAGGATTTCCCCCCCTTCCTCCTTCCCCCCCTACCGCATTGCGAACGCGCTCCCCTCGACTGCTAGTGGTGTCGTTGATGGAAACACTTCGCAAGGACGCCTTGTTTGCGGGTGGATCTTCGGTATGGGCTCGTTTGCGCGATGAAACCCCCTCCGCGAGGCGTTTGGGGGTGTTTTTTTTTCAGCCCCCTGCTGCGTTGGAGACGATTTCCCAAGGGTCGGGGGGTCGTGAGTCTCCGGGTCTTTGGAATTCGAATAGGATGACTTGTCCACGGTGTCCACCAGGCCATCGTGGGGAATCATCAGGATCGATCGTGATGAGACCGTGTTCCGACTGATGGAACTCGTCTTTGTGCGATGCGAAAGAGAAACGCGAGAGTCCGAATCGCCTTTGGATTGAGATTTTAGGCTGTTTTCTGGTCGGTCGTGAAACGCATTCGATCGCTCGGTGGAATGAACCTTTCCCGTCTTTGTCTTGATGTTAAGATTGAGAAGGTCCAATCGCGTAATAAGCGAGACAACGACACGGGACATCCCCAACCATTGCTGTCGTCGCTCCTGATCCATCAAAGTGCGCTCGACAAAGGCATGCAATCCCCCTTTCCGTGCGCGTTCCTGCCGACGAGCCTCCGTGCGCTCTCCCATAAATTCCATGAGCCGAACACTGTTATTTGGATCCTTTTTCTTAGTTTTCTTACCGATACGCACGCTAAAAACCGAGCTCGGTGGTGGCACTTTACTGAGAAAGCGTTGTCGAACCACATTGAAGCTGTCGTGGGGCTCGCCAAACAAACTCTTACTGCGGTGCTTGTTGTCCTCAAGCGACATGGCTTCGTTCTCTTCTTCGCTGTTGGTATTAATCGACGACTCTCCCGACGCTGAGCGCACTTCACTCTCGCTACTGCTGATGCTGCAGATCTCGGAATCATTCTCCACGCGGGGCGTGGAATCTATGGGATCCATCGAAACGCCCTCTGACGACACCCCGCGAGAGCTAAATTTCTCTATGGATGAGCGATCAGGTATGGTTATCCCTTGCTCTCTATGGGTAAGCCTCCCTTGAGAAGGGAGTGGTTTGGTGTTGGAGCCCTCACTCCCATCGAGACCTTCCAGTTTGACATAGGGCAGGGTGCTATTCCCTGACGCCCGAATCAGCTCCTCACATTTCTCGCCTTTCCGGCGCAGCCGCCGCTGCTTTCGCATTTCCCGCTCCTCATTGCGCACGACATTGTTAAAAAGCCCGTCGATGTCCTTCTCCCAATCGCTCGGGGGCAGATCCGCGTCCTGGCGTCCGGTGTAGACGTCGATATCCGAGTTCGTATCCACGACCTCGTCGCCGCCATAGGTGTAGGCCCCGGTGTGATCCCGACGGGGGGAAGAATAGGTCCGCTTCAGCGCCTTCACCCCGGCAATTAGCGGATCGATGGCGTTTGAAACCCCCAAGCCCAAGGCGGGTTCGGGGGCCCTCTTTAAAAGGCCCCCGGCTTCGCAGTCGGGGGTCCCCCCCTGCCCGTCCCCGTCGTCGTCCCTGGCGGGAGCCCTTGAGGAGCCGCTGATGCTGCCATTGGGGAACTCCGTTAAGGAGGAAACGGACGCCACGCCGAGGGATTGTCGGGACGAGTGTCGAAGTTTTTTTTCGTTTGGACAGCGAAGATAATGCGGCCATTTGGAGGCCAAGAAGGCCTCGACCCCGTGGTGGTAGCGCACGTAGCCGGTAAAAAGCGCCGCCAGGAGCCAAAGCATGGATAACATGTACACCAGCTCCGCGTTCTGACGATGCTTCGAGAAGCTCTGCACCCCTGTCTCTTTGGCGCGATGTTGAAAAAAATAGCTCGGGCTATGCATGAGCAAACAAGGGTAAAGACCCTCGGAGGTGTACACATAGAGCACTTGATAAGCCTCCTCCAGGACGGTTTGCAATGAATCGGCGATGTCGCCGGTGTCTAATAAATTGGGGCCCCGGAACGGGTCGTCGCAGTCGCTACCTTCCTGCTTGTTTGGATCATTGAGATCCTGAAGACGCCGTAGCTCACGCACCAGACATAACAAGGCGGTCTCATCCAACAATTTCGGTTTAATCGTGGCGTCGCCCCACACCGCCCCGTCGCTCTGGGCTTGGTTACTACTGCACGCAAGATTCACCCTTGGAACCCACATCTTCCCTTGCGGGGACGCGCGCATCACCGTGTTCACCCAACACAATAAAAAATTCGAGAGCTCGCGGCGAGCGCGCTCGATGCGGAAAGCGGAGACGCGGTGCGATTTCGACAAATCGTCTTCGTATTGCGTAAGGGAGATACTAAGCGTTGAAAGCGGCTTCGGGATGGAAGGGCAGAGCTCAGCCGGGCGAAACGTCTTCGCCAGGCGCTCCCATCGGCTGGCGTGCGCTTTATACCGTTTGGCGTATTTAACCGAGCGCTTATAAGCCTCGCGGAGAACTTTCTCCGCCAACTTATGACTCTCCTTCGCACCCAATAGCTGATCCCCCATCTCGGCCTGGACTAACTGCTTCGATTCGGTCGCCGCGGAGAGCTGGCTACGGAGCTGGTAAATGGTGTTGAGGTGGGCTTGCTCGTTCAGGCGAGATTCGCGTCTGTGGTCAGAAAGAGAGCGATAGAGCTTCTCCAGAATCCCCTGCAAAGTGGAGCGACGCCAACGCAAGAAACACTGCCCCTCTAGACGGCGCCGTATGCTATTAGAGATTGAGATGTAGGCGGCCTGCCGAAACGCATGGACCCCTTTCGTATAGCGATGCCACGCCACCAACACCTTCCGCAGCCGTGAATTATTGACCCGGCGCTGCCCTAGCTCTAACACATGGATGGCCTTCCCTAATAACGACTTAAGCACCTGAATACGCTGCCAGGGGATATCATTCCTGTGTTGTAAGGCCACAATCTCTTGGATCCAGAGGCGGTAATTGGAAAAGTCAAACGTCTTGTAGGTGGTATTCCTCAGTGGGTAGGCCAACGCCTTCGCGCGCGAATCGCTGTCGGACGCGGCCGGGACGAATGCGCCCCCGCCCTCCTCCCCCGTCTGGCTGTCGACACCTTGAACCCCATCATCGATGCGGAGGGGGGTATAAATGCTATCTAAAATTGTATCACGAAGCAGATCCCAGAGCCCGCACATATTCGAATCCCTCCTCAGCACCTCATTCAGGATATAACACGCCACGTTAACCAAAAGGGGGTTCGGCAGGGCCCCACGGGAGGGGCCTTCAACCTTCGCGCGAGGGCCCAGCGCGGCCACGCTGGCCTCCGTGAAGGCGACCTCCCCCCAGTGAATGGAGGAGCTGAATTCGGACGCCTCGAAAGCCACGGGAAAGAGGGAATGTCGTAAAAGCGAGGAAATCGTCTTTCCCGCGAAGGATGTCCCCCCTTCCCACCGCGGTGGGGGAGAACTTCGCGTGCGCAGGCGCCGGGACGAAGGGGGGGCCGCGGCCGCTTCCGGTCTCGCACCCGACGCGAAGGTCGACAATCGCGGAGAATCCGCCTCGTCCAGCAGGTCCAAATGCCCACCTCTAAAGATTTTCTTGAGTCGAATGTCGACGTGATTGGAAACAGTATGAAGTTCCCTCTGGAGTTTGGTTTGCTGTTTTTTGATCAATTGAAGAGTCTGTAATGTGGCTACATCGAGCTGATGTTGCAAACGGTCCTCATCACGTGCATCAAACGTCAGAACCGGTTCCGAAGACTCCAGAAGTTTCTCCTGTTTTGCCAATGGAATGTGCTGACGCATGATAGCATATAACTATATCTATTACCAAAATGCCTTCAGCACACTAACCTTTTGAAAAAAATAAGTCCATGGAATAAGAAGAAAATTAAATAGGAAATTCATGACGCTGTCGGTGGTTGTGCTTCAGGAAATATGTCGCTTCGCTAGATATTGACCTTTTTATGAATACAGCTTCAATTATACACACATTATCAAGGAAGCGTAATCAAAAAAAACGCGAGAAATAGAGATTTCAGAGTCTCGAAATCATCCCGCTTGCAGAATTCTGCCCCCTTAGATTCCATCAATTTTTCAGTTCCATTTCGGCTGTTGTTATTGTTGATAATGGCATCAATATATAAAGGAATCGATGAATGTAGTTGGACCCTTTAACAACCCCTGTTAAACTCTGAAAAAAACTAGCTTCAGACAATAAGCAAAATTAACCTATTAAAGGGAGGGGCACGTCAAAGAATGAGAGTTCATACACACTTAATTTCAGGAGACAATACCACACCTGAAAAGAAAGCAAAGAACATTCACCTTTTCCGAATCCTTTTGTGATCACTCCCCTTCAGATATTAGTCAAACGGGCCGTATCGCCATTCGACATCTGGCATAGGAATACGCTTAATATGGTCCTCCCTGCGTCGAAGCACACTGTCAATATCCATAGAACCATACAGATTTCCATGATTCGCCCAAGGCTCTCCAGCACTTTTGTGAGGTGCGGCGAGGGTAGGCGACGACCCCTGTCCGACCTCCCCACGACCATCCGAATCGCGTTGAGTGGAGCGGTTGGGTTTTGTCCTCGATGAAATGTCGTGGTCCAACTGAATCCCTTCTGTGGCTACCACGTCAACGTCCTCGCTGCTGCCACCATCTTTAATATTCTGCGAATTTATACGCCGGTAGATGGGGTGGTGCAGATTCCCATCAGGATTGAGCGCAATTAAAGGAGAAGATGATGACAAAGTAATACAAGATCCCCGCTCTACTGGCAAAGTCCCAGATACGTTAGAAGCTACTACACCCTTTCCTGCATCGACTCTGTCGTATGGCTTAGTTGGATTACCTATGTCCGACTCTAGTGGCGCATCACCACCCCCAGGAAAGGCTAGTTGTGGGATGAAGGAACCACGGCACTGGTACGTGTGTTCTATATTTATGTAAGGTGCAGGAGGAATCCCCTCTTGCAGTGTTGTATAACGTGCAAATTTAGACGCAATGGGCGCCGCTCCGAGATCATCGACCGACGGCCTACCACAAACGACATTAATACGAAGATGCGCTTTCTGGAGGAGGACACCAGACACCGGCAGCAAGGATTGCGGAATATCTCTGGGAAAAACAAACAGCGGCCTCCCAAGGCGCTCGCGCCCTCCCAAAGGAAAGGTCATGTCGCCACCAGTATCCCACTCCTGCGGCCCGATCCCCCCCCTCCATACTGACTCTGCTCCCTCGCTACCTGCTGTAATACCGCGATGGCGGTGTACAAAGTATCGCCGAAGAGCTGACCCGAAGAGAGGGCCCACCGCAGCCCCTTCACCATATCCTCCCGCACCGCGGCCCTCCGCTGAGTCTGCGCGGTCAGCTCCCCCAACGGACTCCACGCAAGCCCGTTCGACGTCCCCGTGGCCCCGAAGCTTTCCCCGACGGAAAGGGACCTTCCCACCGCGCGGGTGTGGGCCAGGAAGGCACCCCCGTTCAACGCGGTAAAGCCATCCACCCCGCGGATAAGCGAGGCCGGAAGGGGACGCAGGCGGTGGGAGCTGCCCAAGACAGGCAGGAGCGCGGCCCTGGCAGGGCTGAAGGCGGCATGAGAATCCCTCGGGACGGGCCGTGATGGAGGACGCCGAGGCCGCGATCTCGGGCTGTGACACGGCCCCCCCCCTTCCCTTTCCCTCCCGGGGAACTCCCGGCACAGCCGAGCCAAGGCCCCTTCGGCCGCCACCCCCCCCGCTGTGACAGGCCCTCCGGAGCCGGAAAGGGCCAGGGGAGGGGGGGGGGG